TTGGAGGAATGCATGGCTCTAGAGATATCCTCATACATTTCCTCCACCTCCTTATCGGGGTGTGCCGAGGTTGGTGCGTAAACCTGTATGACCTTCAGCGAATACCGTTTGGTGATTCTGAGTATAAGGTACGCAACCCTCGTCGACACACTCTCAATCTTTACAACGTTGTTAACGAGAGACTTGTGGACGATAAATCCGATACCTCCTTAGGACAGATGGTCGCCCTCCCGGTGATAGAGCAAGTTGTCGGATTCAAGGATTACCGTGTCCTCCCCCTCTCTTCGGACTTCGGATAATCCTATAATATGCCAGCGTAACTTGTCTATCTCTTCTTCCAGCTCCACAATCTTCTCGTCAGTCCTCAGAGTGCGTGCGTTGTATGTTGCCAGGTCGAGTCGTCTTAGGTGGCAACCGAACCTCCACCGGAGATTCTTAACACCCCCTGCCCGCCATGGTCGCCACCGTAGCCAGGAATAGCGGGGCTGCCAGGGACTGGGGGCCGTCTCTTTTTTACATTCATAGGGGGGTATTTGCCATAGTTGCCACGCTTGGCGAGCGGGTTGGCAACCGCAGTTTTTATTGTATTTCTGCTGTTATCAGGAAGATGCTGCTGCCCATCTCCTGTCTGTTTCCCTTTGTCGCCTTTTACGACACCCACGGGAAGATATGGGGTAGTGGATATTCTTAACCGCCACTACACGGCTATATATATATATATAGCTATACTATATCTACGTATAGTTATTTATTATGATATGTTGCGCTAACAAAAAGAGACAAATGATAGGGCATACCTATCGTTAGAAAAATTGTTTCAAACATCATTAGTTGCGTATTGATTGCTGCCGAACGCTCATTGGCGCGAGCGCGTGACATACCGATATGGAAAATGAACACACTAGCTAGCGTCAAAGTTTACACTAGCGGTTATTGTTGAAATAATAAAACTGATTATGAACAAAACATCTATATTCAAAATATTAATAAGACGTTCTTCTTGTCTCTAACAGTTGCCGTTTAATTTGTGCACCAACTAAAAATACAGGAAGACATTTTTGCCACGAATAAAGATTTACGCACTGTAGCGAAGGTATAGCCGCGACACGAGCGTGCCCGACTGAATGCGAGTCGGGCAATTACCTTACTTTCGTATTGCCATTTTAGAGCGAGTATGACGTATCTATACTTTAAAAACATCTTAGGTCGTAGGTAGTAGGTTAAACCGTATGAAGAATATGATATTACTTGCTTCAAAGCGATAATGCAGCAAAAACAGCGCACACGTAGCGTACTTCTTCCAAGTGAATGCAATTATATACTGATGTTCCTTTTTTTGACAACAAAATCATTAAATTCTTCTCCTTCTGTCGCCGAATCATTGCTCAAACCTCAAACAAAATGTTTTTCAAATACTTTTAAATTCCATAGAGTACTGCCAAAAGATATCGTTAAATATTTTAAAACTATTGATGTTAAGAAAACGGCAGACTTATGGGGGATTTCCGTTAAAGTTATTTTATCTATAATAGATATATTAACACCTTATCTAGCCACTATATTTAATATAAGCGTCGAATCTGGTGTGTATCCTGATTTAATGAAACATAGTAAAGTCATACCTATATTTAAATCTGGTAGTACATTAGACCCCACCAATTTTAGACCGATTTCTGTACTACCAACATTAAGTAAAATTTTTGATAAAATTATTTTAGATCAGATGTTAAGTTTCTTTAATATTAATAAATTACTACATAAAAATCAATTCGGTTTTACAAGGGGTCGCTCGACAACTGACGCTGGAGTTGAGCTTATTAAACATATTTTTTGTGCATGGGTTCTCCCAGAGGATGCTTTGGGTATATTTTGTGACCTTTCTAAGGCCTTCGACTGTGTTCTCCATGAGACATTAATCAGGAAGCTACAGTACTATGGTGTCAAGAACACAGCGCTTAAACTTATTATTTCATATTTAAGTAATAGAAAACAGAAGGTTATTATCAATGGTAAAAGTTCTTCCGGGTCACCTGTACTAATGGGTGTTCCTCAGGGCTCGATTCTCGGCCCATTCCTGTTTCTGGTGTATATTAATGACTTACCTCACCTTGTAGGGGATAGTCATGATATAGTATTATTTACTGATGATACTTCCTTGATTTTTAAACTTAAACGTCAATCATTTAAATGTGACGAAGTGAATAATGCTATATCAAAATTAGCATTGGTTTAACGTTTATAATCTGCATTTGAACGGAAATAAAACTAATTGTCTTAAATTTACAACAACGAATGTTAAAAATCTGAATACCAATGTGTTTTTAAATGGGGAGGAATTGAGCCCTGTTGTATCCACTGTTTTTCTTGGCATCACTCTTGACGCAAAGCTCCAGTGGGGCCCCCATATATTCAAATTAGCAAGCAGACTAAGTTCTGCAGCCTATGCTGTAAAAAAGATTAGAGGTCTCACTAGTGTCGAGACAGCTAGATTAGTTTATTTTAGTTATTTCCATAGCATAATGTCTTATGGGATTTTGCTATGGGGAAATGCGGCTGATTCAGAAACTATTTTTGTTTTACAGAAGAGGGCCTTTAGAGCTATTTACAATCTAAAACCGAGAGAGTCTCTAAGAGATAAATTTAAAGAAATTAATATATTAACTTTGGCCTCTCAGTATATTTAAGAAAATTTAATGTATGTTCACAAAAACAAAGATAGTTTTAGTAAAAAAAGTGATATATATTCTGTAAACACTAGGAACAAACACAAGCTAGTGATGCCAGTTTCTCGACTCCACAGAGTCAGTAATTCATTCTTGGGGCAATGTATACGCTATTACAACAAGGTCCCGGAAAGTGTACAGGTTCTCTCTATTACCAAGTTTAAATGTTTTACTAAGCTGAAACTGTATAAAAAGGGTTATTGTAGTATAAATGAATACATGGTTGATAATAACCCCTGGGAATGAGGTGGTCGCTTCCAAGCAGTTTCTAAAATAAATTTTGTAAATAGTTCGTAATCATTTATATTGTAAAATTTATTTAAAAAAAGTCCCGCTGGGTTTCTTGCTGGTTCTTCCCAGGACAGAGAGTTTTTTTTCGAACCAGTGGTAAAGTAAAAAATGACTTTCAATAAGAATTACACATTTATTGTATATTGAATAAAAAATATTCTATTCTCTTCTATTCATATTGCGTACTGAAGTACCTAGTATTGGTTAATTATTTAAGATTACTTTGTCGGAAATTTTAATTTTTTTAGTCGGAACTTTTAATTTTCCCCATCTGTAAAGATATTTAATAAAAGTTGATTTAAAATTGATCGTATCTTTCGCTACTTAAATACATAAGTTTACATTATATAACATATACCTACTATTTATCTTCTTTGGCACAAGTCTATAATATTCCATTTCGGTTCAGTATCAACCGTAGCGTTACACCCTCTGGTTTAATGTCACTGGCGCTTGAACTTTCACGTACAGAGAGTGTCACCGCTGTGCCGCAACGCCGTTAACTATCCCATATTTCATTTCCTTAACCTTTCCGTTACCGCGCCTGCTATAACAAAAACTGCTTTGTACCGGGGGTTCCTGTCGTCATCTCGGCGCGTGGCGCTTGTTTCAACATTTATGTTATTCACGAACTTTCATTTATAAGAGGTTTGAGTTAGAGTTCTTTAAAGCTTATAAGATTGTCGATGAGTAGAAATAATAATAATAACATGTGGATGTTCATTTAGTTTTGTACAGCTCTTTGTTTCTAAGGTATCTTGAAAAAGTGTATTTACTGCCAATAAATTTGGTTTTATGAATGAAAAAGCGTAAGTTTTTATTTTATTTTTATGTCCTCACAATCTGTATAACATGCTCTTCCTGAAAATATACATGCAGTAATCATTAAAATAATTCTACTTTCCACTCGCAAACATTTGCTAAAAATCCAACAATAGACAGTTTGCGCGCACTTTGTCATTACATTTTCAAAAGCTTTTTGTGAAAATATTATAGCGTCTTCCTTAATTTTTCTTATACAATCATATAGATATAACATTTAGGAATAATATATCTTTATGAATATATATACATGCAATAAACTATCTCTAAAAATGCTTAATATTTCAGAAGGTAGTTCTTATTTGAAATTTTGACAGTTATACATTGTTCACGTAGAGGTGTTTTGTTTTTCCTTTTTTATCAATTGAAAACAAAAATTTACTTTTGTTGTAACTTAAATCATTCAACGACATTATCTAGTAAAAATCATTAACATATCTTGCCAGTTTTTAAAAGAAAATCCAACAAAACTCACAAACGCAAAAAGAAAACAATTACGTAACTAACAGCACCAAAACGCGAAAGTGAATGCCTATTATTTTTTATTTTGTCTAACCGAGTGAGTTTAATACTTAAGAATACTCTTTAGTTCGTTCAGAATCGAATGAAATAGTTTCTAATTGAAAATATACTGTCTTTCTATATTTATTAAGACGAAAATAGCAGCGCGGTATAGCTGCATGAATTCATGCCCGCGATACTCAACGGGTCAACGGTCACTTAATAGATGCATGAATTCATGCCTGCGGTACTGGAAGGTTTTACTACCTAATGGACCCGTACGATTTTACTTTGCCAGTATCTAGTAAAATGAAACATTTTTTAATAATAATTAGTTTAAAATATTCTTCACAATATGTTGATACAGATAGTCGAAGACGATAGTGTAGATAGAAGATAGATAGTGAGGCCTAAGAAAACACAATAACTTGAAGTTCACATAACCTTCGGAGCGCTTGTTTTATCATTTCCGATAATTGTGAACATGCACAGAAAGTAACCTAATACAAAAAAATCGTACCACTTTTACGTATCAAAATTACAACTAAAAAAAAAACTTCAACTAAAAAATAATACAAGACTCAAAATAACTCGCTGACAGTCAAATTCCCGCTAAAACTCAATTCTTCTCAATTCAGCTTATTGAGTTTGTGTGTTGTGCAGGTGGAGTTGAAGCAGAGCGTGACGTCACTGTCGGCGGCGGTGGCAGCGGGCGGCTCCAACTTCAGCGCGGGCCAGCGCCAGCTGCTGTGCCTGGCGCGCGCCGCGCTCGCGCGCAACCGCCTGCTCGTGCTCGACGAGGCCACCGCCAACGTCGACCCCAAGTCAGTGCACGCATTGTATACCGCCACCTCTAACGCTAGCCTAGCAAAATTTCTCTCTCTCCCTGTTGCCTCCCGCATGCTCGTGCTTAACGAGGCCACCGCCAATGTCGCCCCCAAGTCAGTGCACGCATTGTATACCGCCACCTCTAACGCTAGCCTAGCAAAATTTCTCTCTCTCCCTGTTGCCTCCCGCATGCTCGTGCTTAACGAGGCCACCGCCAATGTCGCCCCCAAGTCAGTGCACGCATTGTATACCGCCACCTCTAACGCTAGCCTAGCAAAATTTCTCTCTCTCCCTGTTGCCTCCCGCATGCTCGTGCTTAACGAGGCCACCGCCAATGTCGCCCCCAAGTCAGTGCACGCATTGTATACCGCCACCTCTAACGCTAGCCTAGCAAAATTTCTCTCTCTCCCTGTTGCCTCCCGCATGCTCGTGCTTAACGAGGCCACCGCCAATGTCGCCCCCAAGTCAGTGCACGCATTGTATACCGCCACCTCTAACGCTAGCCTAGCAAAATTTCTCTCTCTCCCTGTTGCCTCCCGCATGCTCGTGCTTAACGAGGCCACCGCCAATGTCGCCCCCAAGTCAGTGCACGCATTGTATACCGCCACCTCTAACGCTAGCCTAGCAAAATTTCTCTCTCTCCCTGTTGCCTCCCGCATGCTCGTGCTTAACGAGGCCACCGCCAATGTCGCCCCCAAGTCAGTGCACGCATTGTATACCGCCACCTCTACCGTTACAGCTGTTACGAGCTTGAGGTTCGAGACAATTAAAAACTGCCGATTGAATTACCAAAATTTACACTTTAATTACGGATACTAATTACACCTTAAAACATACTAATAATAAAACGCAATAATTCTACTGATCACTTATACTACTCGCCAATGACGCCTGATGACACAGCACATACCCTGTAAAAATTCATTACTCTATTCTTATCATCAGCGGCGGATTTACTACTGTTCCATTTTGAAGAGTTTCCATCTTGATCCTTAGAGGTGATAACGCATCCGTAGCCTTTTTTATTTGAAGTTGCAGTAGCCACTTATCATCAGGTGGACTGCCAGTTCGTTTGTTACTTCAATTTTATAAAATAAACGCTGTTTCGTTACTGGATGTTAATTTGTTTTAAGAAATTTTAAGAATTATAAATTCATTATGTTATTTTGTTGACATTTCTAATTTGATTGCAGCACTGACGCCTTAATTCAGAAATCAATACGCAAACACTTCTCCGAGTGCACAGTGATAACGGTGGCTCATCGACTGCACACTGTCGCCGACTCCGATCGAGTCATCGTAAGTTTTGTACAAATGTCAATACGCACAACGTGAGCATTCCATATAAAATATCTTATCTAGGTCGACGAAATAGAGTCAAATGAATTCAAAAGCGTCACAGTGATGTGATGATAATTTGATAGATTAGGTGCACGAAATGGAAGTTTTAGGAATACCACTGCTCACATCTACGCATTTTTATTTATATTTTTAAATACATAATTGCAGCATATTTTAACGATTTTTAAGAAGAAAGATCAATTAGAATGTAGTTTTTGTGTAATAACACTATGTCTCAGAGAATTATTGTATATTTCAATTCAATTATTCATATTGTATTACGTGAGTAATTGAATCTCTTAAGCTGGTAATTGTAAAACTCTGTCCTTGATAATACATTTTCTTAAAACTTTTAAGCAAAATAAAAATAAAAACTGAGTAAACAATTGAATTTCTCAGGTCATGGAAGCCGGTCAGATTGTAGAATCAGGTCATCCACACGAGTTGCTACAGAAAAGTGACGGCTACTTCACCCGCATGGTGAAGCAATTGAGTCCCGCCTCGGAGCAGAGTCTCCGGGAGCTAGCCAGCAACGCCTACGCGCAACACATCAAATACGTGGACGCCGACGAACAAGGCCAATCTTAATACTTAAATTAAATAATTTCGAATACTAGACAATTTATGTTAGAAGGTTCTAGGTCGTGGTAAACCGATGTCAGCAGCTCTTGGTGTTAGAGAAGAACATTGTCTTTACCAAGTTTACACACCCATAACAATGTGATAGATAAGCATTTAACCAATAATCGTGATACTTAAGCCGAAGTTATTTCGAATACCTATTTTAAGTATATATATATGGTAGTATATTTACTTACCATAATTATATAATATTTATTACAATAAAAAACCTTAAAACTATAATGACCAAACAGCCCCACTACCCGCGGCATAGTGCTTAGAATCGCTTGCTGCGATTCCTCGCTGAATGCCTATAGCCTATGGGCGAGAGAAAAACCAATCTTGTAAATAAATAGATAGATAGAAATATTTAAATTTCAAGACAATTTGCTACAAATGCGAACTTCCTGCCGAGAAGGCATTCTCTGCCAGCCATCCTTTGATAGTGTGGTAAGAGCTATGGGTAGAGTAGGAACAGAAAAATTACTAATTTTTTTTTGAAGGGCCGTAATGATGATTATATTTACTCATTTAGTTTTATCAGTTATAACAAAAAGTGTTCTTATGGTGCTAATCGTTTTATTAAACTAAATATACTCTTGCAACATTGCTTATAACGATAGGTACGAGTATAGGATCTATAAGTGCCCTGGAGGCACATTCTTTTCAGATAGATAATGTGATTATTTGTGTAAAAAATTACGATCATTCAAACAGGGAAATTGTCTAACTTAAGATCACAAGAATTGTGATGTGTGCTTCTGTGCATATTTTTTAAAGAATTATTGTACTTACAACGAATGCCACAAAAATACATTAATTTAGAAATAAATACATATTTAAAATAATAGTATAACATATTCAAGTTTTTATAAATAATTTTATACCAGTTATTTATATTATATAATTATTATGACGTAATTGAAAAGCCACGCCTAGAATGATACTTAATTGAACAAAAGTACAGTAAATGTACAACGGGGTGAGATATTTCAACGTTGTAAACATTTTTGTGTAACAGGAGTTAGTGAAGTTATACCTGGTTGACTTTGTACTATCGTTACCGTAAACTAAAAAAGAATTTGAATGACATACCTATCTCGACTATTATTATTATAATTTTTTTTTATAATTTTCAATTAGCGATTGGGCTAACCCCACCGAAATGTTACAAAAAATGTATACAACTATAAACTATTAAAAGATATTTGATAGTCATAGTATATAATGTACATTAAGTGTCACACATCTAGGAAAAAGCCTTTTAGTGACAAGTAGATTAAGCTGGTACTTAATGGGTACGTACTTCAAAAACTTACCTGAGATACTCACAAGTTGTACGTAATTATAAAAGTGAAATGCGTATGTGTACTTTATTTTTATATATGACGAGCATTTACATATTATATACTTCATTTATTATAGCATTAGAAAAAAGAGGCTCATAAAAGCAGTAGTGCTTAACATTTGATTTCAAAATTAGGTCAAACAATTTTATTGAAAAGTGGCTTCATTTAATTATTTTAACATAACTTGAAAAATGATTTATTATAAAATGTACTGTTCCTAAATTATCCTAGGCTGATAAAGTTAAAATTATTATAATAAAATTTGAGAACTGGTATTTAAATAGATTATAATAAATTGGACATAAATCGTAACATGTTTTTGTACTTTTACTCAAAATCACAAAATTGTCTTATAAAACCATTTTTAACTTCTGTGTAAATGGAATATAGGTAGGTACGTTAAAAATTATATTTGTTAACCAAAATAGTGGTATAATTTGAATATTTTGAGACGTATTTAAGGCATATATGTTGTTACTTTACCTCATAGAAAAGTAATCTTAGTACCTATTCTGTTTTAAAGAAAATCTAATAATATCGAATTGTCGATATGAAATAGGTTAACTTTTTGTATCATTTAAATTTGTACTTAAAAGTCCTTTTTGTAACTTAATAAAGACTAAAAGTCTATTTTTTACTGCAAAAAATTATACATATTCAATTTAAGTCGGCAATTCCTTTTAGGTAATCTACCTACCAAAAATTGTACTTCACAAATAACATAGAGTTAAATAAATTGTATTGCAAATTGTAAAACTTGTGTATTTTGTTAAAAAAGTTACCCTGATGCTAGTGTATTTCATTTGCCTATTTAATTTACGAAAGGTATTATTTGCACAGAACTTATTAATTTAAGCAGTGCCATAAGTAATTAAAGCTATGGTGTCAATGATATTTATATATAAAAAAGGTAGATAGTTACTAGCACGTCCATAGACAGAGAGAATGGACTGTGCGTTCCGAATCAGTTGTGCAGTGAATACAGACCGAATAGTGCTATAGAGACAAAGCGAATGTGCGGCCAGCAGTAGTCTCTTTCTAGAATTCTGATTGGTCCACGTCAAATTTTGATTGATCCACAGCTCTGTCTTGCAGGACGTGGACTAATCAGGCTTGCAGGAAAGAGACAGATATCGGCCGCACAGTCGCTTTGTATCTTTCTAGAGAATGGTCACTTATGAGGTTATCAGTCATTTCTCTATGTCTATGAGCACATCAAAAAAGAAGCGTCGGGAAAGTTCTCAATTAGTCGCTCCGGCTATTGGCTAACAAATATAACACCATGATTTCGTAAGCTTGAAGAAAATGACAACAATAGACGTACCAGAACTGGTGCGTTAAGAACACGAAGAGCGAGAGAGAATGTAGTGAAATGTAAGTAAAACATTAAAATGTGTATGTGTGCGGCCGCTGGGAAGGCCGAGTTCGAAAAATTTTTTTCGGTGGTTTTGTAGACATAAAGCATACCTATAAAAATATCATTGTATAGTCTGTTCGCTAAGATAGTGTCAGTACACCCAGAGATGCACTTATTATTTTGCTTTTATATTATTATCTGTATTCCTAAAAATTAGAGCTACAGAACTAAACACAAAAGACAGTAACTTATATTAAATTATTTTTAATTCTTATTACGTATAAAAAAATTAATTGGGGGACCCCAAACTAGGCATAGTCTGTAGCTAGTGTTGCCCAAATGCAATAACAAGACGAGACTTAGCCAGTCTTGGTCTTGTTCTGGCACCAATACCCCTGGTCTTGGTCTTGGTATTGCGCTCCCAGTCTTGGTCTTGGTCTTTGTCTTGCAGCAAGACTCGCAAGTCTCGCAATTACCTATTAGTCTATTGCTGTTATTAAACGTTACTTTAGATCTTAGAACAACTTCACAGAGTATAGCCATAGTAAAGACCAACCAAGTTAATAAATATAAAATTAATGACATTAACTTGTCGGTATTTTAAAGATATTTTTTTTAAACTGGCTTTACGGCTCTGGGTTCTAGCCCTTCTGAGCCTGAAGTTACAATGTATTAACTTTACGATATATTCATCAAAAATTCTTTTTCACATTGATTCACAGTTTATTTACGTTTGCACTATTGTTTAATAACACGTTGTTCTCATTTTTATATATCTTGGACACCAGATATAAAAGAATATAATGGTCGGAAGAATTTTTCATCAGCTAATAAACTTTGAAGAGTATCAGGAACTTTATCATTGTTAATATCTTGAATGGAATTAATGAGGAGTAATCTATTCAAACCAAACTGACTGCATTGAAAAACCAGATGTTTTAGGTCTCCTTTCGTGTCTCCACAATATTCACAATTTGCATTTTCTTTCATTCACAAACGATGCAGGTGGGCGGCTACTCTGCTATGTCCAAATCTCATTCGGTTTACAGTCGTAATGAATTTTCTAATCTATATAAATTTTAATCCCTTTTTTGGTGTACCAAGGAGTGGCTGGCGGGCTTTTTTGTATATCATAATACCAAATTCCTTTGAACTTGCTTATTTCTTCCCAGTATGCCTTCCATAAGGATCTCAAGTTCTTGCTTAACAAGGCATATATATCTGTAAATGGTATTTCCAGCATTGTCGAGTGGTCTGTACATGTTGATGAGAATATGTCTCTAGTAGCAATGTCTGCTTCCTCGTTCCCAGTTATCCCAGAGTGTGAAGGGACCCACATAAAGGTCTTCTTTATTTTACTAAGATTGTTTAGTCAGTTTCTTATATTATACATAATGTAATTTTTTTTTGTAATCCATTTTGTTAGATTCAATAGCTGTTATAACACTTTTTGAATCAGTTACAATTAGAAACTGTGAATTCGCAATATTCTTATGTACAATAAAGTTAAGTATATTGCATAACATTCAGCTGTAAAAATAGAGCATAAACTGTGAATTTTAATAGGTTTAGATATTTTCTTTTGTGAATCATAAAATGCTGAAGTTGTGTACTCTTCAGATTTTGATCCATCTGTGTATATTGTATAAAAATCATTATCAGCTAGATATCTTAACATTTCCATTTGAGAATTCACATTTTCTTGACATACAGAAACATTAATGTTCAGTAAAGCATCATATTCTATTTTATATAAAAGCCATTTTTGATTTGGGTCTGTGAGTATAAAACAATCCTTAGGATGTCTGGTAATCGACCAGATAAAAGCATATTTACATCAATGTATGAGCTATCATCAAACTCAGGAACTTCATAAGGAAGTATTTTTTTTAAAACTAAATCATTTTTTGAACTGATTAATTTAACACAAAACCGTTCAGCAATTTGTAGCCTTCTTAGTAAAAGTGGAGGAATACAACTTTCTACTTCCATTACATGGATTGGTGTAGAGCACATAGCCCCAGTTATTATACGCAACGCTTTATTCTGAGTTATATCTAATCTCTTTAAAATCAATCTGTTTGCATTTAAGTATGCTAATGTGCTGTAATCAAAATGACTTCGAACTATACTTTTATAAAGCATTGATAACAACTTTGGGTCAGCTCCCCAATGCACACCTGCTAATGATTTTAACAGACCCCTTTTTTAGACCCCTACAGGCATTTTTTCATCATTACACAGATTATTTACATGTTCTT